CAGCCACAGCGATGGACGGATTCGAGTGTACCGACGTCGAGGTGAACGTTACGTCAATCATTGTGTCATGGAAGAAGATCGGTTCAGGGGCGGCAGCGTTATGGTATGGAGTGGGATGACAGCAAGACAGAGGACCCGTTTGATAGTGGTAGAGGGAAACCCACACACGCTATTGATTTGTAAATTGACATTTTGGCATGTTCATGTTTTTTTTTTAAATCACGCATTTCTGAAGTGAGTATGGCAAATTAAACCATTTGAACACTTACAGGAGTCTTTTATCTATTTCAAACCGAAATTATTTCAGATTTGGTAAAAAACATAACTTTGCATTAAATCTTATTCAATGTCACAGAACTTTTGTTGTTCAGTATATTATGTTGTTTTTTTCAATTACGCTGCCCTTATTCATCACGACAAACGTATTTCGTTCTCGTCCAGAGAATAGTGCAGAACTATTATTTGTGTGTTGGACTGTGTTGGATAAATCGTGGACATCCCACATACAGTATCATTTTATGAGATGTTAAGACGACATGGCAGGAAGGTTTTGAAACCAAAGACCTACGCGTTTGTTGAAAAGTCTTGGAATCGTTTGATGGATATTTATTACCATTAAAACTTACGTCCTTGTTGTCAAACGGCCCCCGTGGGTGAGTGTTTACATGACGTCACCCGTTTACGCATTAATTAATGAAACTTGCGTTAGCATGACGTCATACTGACCTGTCCGATCACTAGTATAAGCTCCGCCCACTCAGAGTGCGGTAGACCCGTGAAGATTCCGGGGTAGAATAGGTCTTCAGCAAACCATGCTTGCCGTTAAAGGCGACTATGCTTGTCGTAAAAGGCGACTAACGGGATCGGGTGGTCAGGCTCGCTGACTTGGTTGATACATGTCATCGATCCCAATTGCGTGGATCGATGCTCATGGTATTTATCACTGGATTGTCTGTTCCAGACTCGATTATTTACAGACCGCCGTCATATAGCTGGAATATTGCTGAGTGCGGCGTTAAACAACAAACAAACAAACAAATCCAACGTCCCGGAAAGTTAACGTCTCATAGACGCTGTCTCAGTCACGTAACGAAAAGGTTGAAATAAACTCAGGTTCATATAAAAAGCGAAACAGAATGAATGAAACACATACGGTCAGCAATAAACACTTGAAACAAAACAATCAGCGTACATTCCTTAGATGACTTTATTAGGTCAGTTTACAATAATGCGTTTACTATGCAATATGACAGAACATCCACAAGGTCCCACTATAATCACACACATATATCACTTTCACATAAACTGTTTGATTCATACGAAAGTCTGATATAATTTTCTTGGATACGATAATACAATTATGTTAATGTTCTTATTATGATATTTTCTGCTTAATAGGTTAAGTATTGTGGTAGAAGTCGTTCCAATTGTTCCATTATTCTACAGCTTCTCAAGTGCTCTTTTCAAATAAAAAAATATCCATTTTGTTGGCGATAAACATCACTGAGTTTCGATCACGTGGTTACAATCCGTGTAAGGGGTTACATTTTGCATCTCCAACTATGTCAATAACGCTTTAAATACCACATGTGCATGTAATATCTTCTTTCAAGTCGTGCTGGTAATGAACTAATACTGATAAACCAAAAAATATTACACACGCAAATCTGGGAATCGAACCCATGATCATAGGATTCTAGCTCGACTAAGGGGCGCAACTCAACGAAGCATATTGAGATGCCTTATACAACTAGGTGACCTTTGACTCTCGACAACATAAGGCTCCCTGGGCTCGTCAGGTAAACGTGCACTCCTTTCATAAATATATTGCCACTTTTGCCTATTGTATTTTAGGTATCTTCCTACCTCGTAATAACATCTTGGGAGGTTTACGTTTTCCTAGTAAGACCTAGAATGAGATTTACTTTTTCATAGTAAGACCTGGTGAGTTGAGAAGTACATGTAGATGAAATATGTACTTGTTTCCAAACGTGTTTCAAACGCCCAATGTTCTAAAATCGAAGACAAAAAATGAAGGTTATAATTATGGATGACGGGGATCGAACCTGCGCATATCGTGTTTAGTTTCGTAACCCACTGTATCCCACTGAGCCACCGGAACAAATAATGAAATGTTGTTACATTTTACTTGTCATGACTTCAGTTTGTGCTGCTTGCTGCACGTGGTCTTTCTATCGCAGGTCTTGATCGCATTCCCTTTACATCGCGACACACTGTATTGTTTCACTAAACGGTATCCCGATGTTTTATAACGTTCTGGTATTTCTTGAGTATATTTCTTTAGACGGTTAACACAAGGGAGTCGGGAAATCGTGTTTACATTTTCAACTTAAACCTCGGAGGCGTGTTTTCCCTATACATTAGGCTGTAGTTCTTACACACATCACACACTGACATAACTACATAATCAGATTATTGGTGTAGGCCCTGACCCATTTTAATAGATAAATTTCCAGCATCTGCTGCAAAATGTCGATGTTCCTACTTTTCTTGGCTCATTGTGTTCAGTGAGCATGATTGCTTCATGCTTGAAATAACGCAACACGATCTGGTTATGAATCAAACTAGTTTCGACCAAAACAAAATCTTTCCGTTAACATGAACCTGACACCTTGTCAGTTTGAATTTTTTTTATACCTGTTGAACACATCTTTGCTTAGTGTGATGAAGATTGTTTATACAATAATGAAGACGCAGCTATCATAACAACTGAAGGGATCGGCACAGCACCCGAATATTTTACTTTACATTTACGCGTTTTGTTTTTAAAATCGTGCTTTTTCAACACTTGTGGAATACATAAACTTTGAGAAGTTTCTCTTTTTCATAGTTCTGAGTATGTATGTCAGTCATAAAATCCTTACACAAAATTTAAAAGTAGACCAATAGACCCTCAAACCATTTCCAAAAAAACATGTTTCTTCCATTTTTGTATTGCTTTCTTTCACCCGACCGACACTTCTTTGAAGAGACAAGTTAGTACATAATTGTTTATATGTTCTTTTTTTTAAATTTTAAATTTAGAAACTCCCGTTATCCAAGATATTATGACATACTTTATTAATAGATTACGTTAATACTTGTTACAATTTTGAAAACGTTCCCATGAGAATATTAATTGTGATGAACTCGAGGAAACATGTCATTTTGTTGCAAATGGGTATTTGCAACCTGATCGCACCCAGGGAACAAAATGTGCTTTGTATGTGTCCCTTGCTACTGACATGTTAACAGGAATAAGCTGGATTAAGGACAGATACTTAAAGAAGTGACAGATTAGCTATAGTAATAACTATAGTGTTCTTTAACTTCTTTTGAGTAGTATATATTGGTCACATATATCACTGGATCATCACTTACACAGTTCAACTTGTATACACAATAAAACCGATACTACATATGCTGTTAATTATAAACTACAAGCACAAGATCACGATTCAGAGAATTAGGTTGTGATGATTTGCAATGAAGGGGATGGGAGGATGTGATTTTTTATATATACTGACTTTATCAACTGTTGTATATATTTCAACGCGCATCACCGTGCATTTTGCACCTGTTTAGAAATTGTATCACCAATCGGTCTAAATGGGACATTGCAACGGTCGATTGTGTATCTCTGTCCGTTCGTATTTCACGCGAATGCATTATTGTTTCTGTTTAACCAGTCGTGAAGATGTTGGTAATGCGCCTTGAAATATGCTAGAAAAATCTCTAGAATATTATGTGTTTGTTTAATAGACGGATGAAAGGGGTTGTTGTTTTTGGAATGATTTTATTTTGAATAATTCTTGTATTCATCTTCAGATACATGTTGGTATGTAAAGAATGTCTTTGTTGATGATTTGCCGTATAAAAAAATGCGTGAAGACCTAATTAAATAAACCGGCGGGATAATAGGAGGTAGTTTATAAGTCAACCATGCCTGTTTCTTATAGCCATCAGCTAGCCTTTATTAACACATGTTTCATCACGAGACTCAGTATGTGAAAACTGTTGTATTCAGTACAGACCTCTTAACACTATCAATTTACCTATCGACTGACGTTCATTTGTATAGTCTAGTTGTAACAAACTGAAAGAAACATGTGAGTATATTTTTTAATATATCCTCAATCCTCAATGAGAGTTTCAAAGGTTTGCTTAACAAAAAACCGAATGCATATGCGCCAATTACAAATGCTTATCGATGTCAGTATAATCATAATTCTAAACAGTTTTACCAATCATCATGACCGACCTGCACAAAGCGAGTTTAGCACTACAACGTAAAATTACGTTACAGTATGATAGTATATATTTGTCTCAGTGCAAGAATAGCTTCGTGTAGGTGGCTTCTGTATAATTGTATTCATGTTATCAAGATATATCGTATGCCGAATCACCATAAGCGATCAAAACCAGATAACAGTAAAATTTTACATTCATTTAGGTGAGTACTTACTCATTAATACACTGCCTGTTACATGATTGTGTTCATTTTCTATCTCCAGGGGTATATGTGATTATTCGCGAAATATCTATCGCACTAAGAATTAAATGTGACATATATTAATTTAAAGATGAAGTAAGGTAAACGTGCTGTTGTTTGTCCATTGTCTGTCTCAATCGTGACATTGTGATTAGTAAAGTGTCTCTGTATAGCTTGGCTAGGCATCAACTGCTAGATTGATGAACATCATGAAATTGAGTGAGTGAGTGAGTGAGTTGGGTTTAACGCCGCTTTTAACAGTATTCAAGTCATATCACGGCGTGTCAGCTTAATTGTGGGAGGAAAGGCCGAAGTGATGCAGGTCTCAGACGTTTACCACTTCGGTGAAACCCACGAGCACGGGTATGGTGCTGACAAACCTAGAAACATAATCGGGGCGAACCGGGATTCAAACCCACAATCATAGGTTTCTGGCGTGCCCAAGGGACGCAACTCTGCACTGCGAATCGCGGCGCCTTAGACGACTGGGCCACCCGTGCCCCCTCATGAAATTGAACCAGCAGTCAAACTTAAATCAAATGTACTGGGACTGCTAGTTTACTCTAGCCTAGACCCGCATTTAGCATATATCACATCACTTACTACACGTGGGTAAATGTAGCATGCACGTTTCAGATTATGAATGGAGTAAAGCTAAATATGTGAGGTATCATGCCGAAAGACATTACGTAAATAAAAGCGACAAAACCCTTTCCATTAGCAAATTAAAACCTTTGTACGATTCAGACCACATCTTAAGCATGTGTTTATGAGTAACTATCGCGTTGGTGTCATAAGTTAACAAGTTAGAGACAACTGGTAGAGCTAATATATGAGGCGAGGTACGTATACGTCAACTGAATGTTTGCTTTTGGCCATATAGCAAATTATTTTATATAGATTTATAGACAACCCATGTACACAGAGAACGGTACAGGGTGCTTTGACGGAATCTTCACTGGGCAATAGCAAGAGCCTGGGAATGTTCCTTGGCCTTCAGGCGAAGCTGTTCGATGCTTGAGGACCTAGGATTGGCCTCGCCCATACACTTGCCACTGTCCAGATGCACTCCATTGTGGTTCAGTGTGTCGTGTCCAGTAAACTCCCGTCCTTCAATAAAACATAGGGCAGATGTAAATGTACTTCAGACGCTAAGTGGACAATCAATCAATACCAGACCCATTAACACCGACAACGCCAGAGAAAAATCAGTCTCGAATATCTGCCGAAACAGATTCCTTAAGGCGTAAACAGCCAAATAGTGATTAAAGTTTTATGAATGGATCACTGAAAATCAGTGATGACACCCGGGTACGCTAAAGTGCAAGCACCATTCACACAATTTTCATTAACAAAGTAAGTGCTTGTGAGTAAGGTGAGTGAGTGAGTATGCTTTTACGCCGCTTTTAGTAATATTCCAGCAATATCACGGCGGGAGACACCAGAAATGGGCTTCACACATAGTACCCATGTCGAGAATCGAGCCCAGGCCTTCGGCGTGACGAGCGAACGCTTAAACCACCAGGCTACCCGACCGCCCCTGTGAGTAAGGTGTGAAAACTCCATGTAAAAGGTTATAACATGGGATTGTATCATGTTGACAAGCGACGTCTCACATTGTAGTGTTCATGGTCGAGCGAACACGCCTCAGCACCAAGTATCGACAAAACTGAATTGGATGAGGTTCAGCGAGCTTGGCGAATGTATACAATGTCAGTCTGATGGCGTGGGTCATTGTTCATGGTCAATGGTCTGCATGTGCAAGATTCTATATATTAATAAGCTTCAAGGATATAACTGGAATATTGCTGACTGCGGCGTTAAGCAACACTGGGGCATTTGTAAGGACATTTACCATCGGATTGCACGGGTCTACCGGGTCACTTAGGACACTTACCGCCTGATTTGCACTGGTCTACCGGGGCACTTATCAGGACACTTACCATCCGATTGCACAGGTCTGCTAGGACACTTATCAGGACACTTACCATCCGATTGCACGGGTCTGCTAGGACACTTATCAGGACACTTACCATCCGATTGCACGGGTCTACTAGGGCACGTATAAGGACACTTACCATCTGATTGCACGGGTCTACCGGGGCACTTGTAAGGAAACTTACCACCTGATTGCACGGGTCTACCGGGGCATCTGTTAGGACACTTACCATCCGATTGCACGGGTCTGCTAGGGCACTTATCAGGGCACTTACCATCCGATTGCACGGGTCCACTAGGGCACGTATAAGGACACTTACCGTCTGATTGCACGAGTCTACCGGGGATCTTGTAAGGACACTTACCATCCGATTGCACGGGTCTACTAGGGCACTTGCAGGGAAACATATCATCTGATTGCACGGGTCTACTAGGGCACTTGCAGGGAAACATATCATCTGATTGCATGGGTCTACCGGGGCACTTGCAGGGAAACATATCATCCGATTGCACGGGTAAACCGGGCCACTAGTAAGGACACTTACCGTCCGATTGCACGGGTCTACTAGGGCACGTATAAGGACACTTACCACCTGATTGCACGGGTCTACCAGGGCACTTGTAAGGGAGCTTACCATCTGATTGCACGGATCTACTAGGGCACGTATAAGGACACTTACATTCTGATAACACGGGTCTACCGGGGCACTTATCAGGACACTTTCCATCTGATTGCACGGGTCTACCAGGGCACTTCTCAGGACACTTACAGTCTCTAATTGCACGGGTCTGTTAGGGCACTTATCAGGACACTTATCACCTGATTGCACGGGTCTACCGGGGCATCTGTAAGGACACTTACCATCTAATTGCACGGGTCTACCGGGGCACTTAGGACACTTACCGTCCGATTGCACTGGTCTACCGGGGCACTAATCAGGACACTTACCATCCGATTGCACGGGTCTGCTAGGGCACTCATCAGGACACTTACCACCTGATTGCACGGGTCTACCGGGACATATGTAAGGACACTTACCATCTAATTGCACGGGTCTGCTAGGGCACTTATCAGGACACTTACCATCCGATTGCACGGGTCTACTAGGGCACGTATAAGGAGACTTACCATCTGATTGCACGTGTCTACCGGGGCACTTGTAAGGAAACTTACCATCCGAGTGCACGGGTCTACTAGGGCACTTTTATGGACACTTACCATCTGATTGCACGGGTCTACCGGGGCACTTTTCAGGACACTTTCCATCTGATTGCACGGGTCTAGTGGGACACTTGCAGGGAAACATATCATCTGATTGCACGGGTCTACCGGGGCACTTGCAGGGTAACATATCATCTGATTGCACGGGTCTACTAGGGCACTTGTAAGGAAACTTACCATCCGATTGCACGGGTCTACTAGGGCACTTTTATGGACACTTACCATCTGATTGCACGGGTCTACCGGGGCACTTATCAGGACACTTTTCATCTGATTGCACGGGTCTACCGGGGCACTTATCATGACACTTACCATCTAATTGCACGGGTCTACCGGGACACCTGTAAGGACACTTACCACCTGATTGCACGGGTCTAGTGGGACACTTGCAGGGAAACATATCATCTGATTGCACGGGTCTACCGGGGCACTTGCAGGGAAACATATCATCTGATTGCACGGGTCTACTAGGGCACGTATAAGGACACTTACCATCTGATTGCACGGGTCTACCGGGGCACTTGCAGGGACACTTACCATCTGATTGCACGGGTCTAGTGGGACACTTGCAGGGAAACATATCATCCGATTGCACGGCTCTACCGGGGCACTACTAAGGACACTTACCATCCGATTGCACGGGTCTACTGGGGCACTTTCCGGCGTTGGCGAAGAAAGATGACAATGATGTTTGGCTGACTGATGTACTGAAGGGGGGAGTCCAATCAACACTCAGGTTGCCATGGAAATACATGCTGGGAAGAGGAACTCCAGTGATTGGGGGGACGCTGGTGTTTTGGAGGCCATTGGACGGACAGTTCCGGTGGATCTTGGAATTTGGTGGAAGCACTGTGAAAACAACCACTTGTGATGGACATGTCGTCAAGTAAAAAGTCTTTACAACACTAGAATAACCATTATCGTCCTTGTGTTATATATTTTATAAACACTTAAAGATGAATATTGCCGTTATATTAGTATACGTATTCATCAACAGTACGTTGGGTTATAAAGTTGGTGAATACATGGTACGAAGTTCGGGGGCACGGGTGGCCCAGTCGTCTAAAGCGCCGCGATTCGCTGTGCAGAGTTGCGTCCCTTGGGCACACAAGAAACCTATGATTGGGGGTTCGAATCCCGGTTCGCCCCGATTATGTTTCTAGGTTTGTCAGCACCATACCCGTGCTCGTGGGTTTCACCGAAGTGGTAAACGTCAGACCTACATCACTTCGTGCTTTCCTCTCACATTAAGCTGACACGCCGCGATATAACTGGAATACTGTTAAAAGCGGCGTTAAACCCAACTCACTCACAAGGATTCATGTCTCATACGCTGAGTACTTTGGTGGCCCCACGGGCATTGATATGGTGCTGAAAGACCAAGGGTGAGGAGAGGTTAAATTTGGTTTAACGTCAAGATTATTGGACTTATACAGCGACGTGCATGCACATGTGGCTGCTTGTAATAGTCCGGACGGTTACCGTGCTAGCCCACGGTGTACTTTCTCTGAGCCGACATAGTCTTGTTTTAGTCCCTTAATGCCGAACGCCTGACAGGGTAAAACAATCTTTTAACGTCCTTTTGTATGACGCAGCCAGGGATCGAACCCACGACCTTCCTTCGTCCTGGTGGACGCTCTACCAATAGACCTCTTAACGCTACGACCTCCTAACCGGTACGACACGGTTTCCGACCCTCTTAAGCATCTTCTTACGACCGTTTCACGAAAGCATCCTAACAACGTCCTTAAGTTGATCTTAAACTCCTAAACCAGGATGTCGCAAAACGGTACAACATCGTGTTTTACAAAGCAACGGGTCCCGGAAGTAAAAGGGCACCTGTCAATTTGATCGGCTGAACGTTTGTACACTGAGACAGTTCTCGTTCCAGAGATTTAAAAGGTTAGGATGGGCTAAAAACACTATACGGAAAGCACTATTCGGTTATTTGTCGCTAATCATATATATTTCCAAAATAAACGATCAATATGTCGGAGATTATTTAAGGGACAATTTTATTCAAGTGTAATCTATTTAACACTTCTTCTTTGATAATAAAAATGAAACAAGATTTAACCCAAACCCCAACCCTAACCCTAACCCTGATTTGTTTGGCAAAGCAGACGTCAATCTTGTCCAGCGAGAAGGTTTAACATATTGTGGACGCATCAATCAAAAGCAAAAAGCGGAAGAGGAATTTTGGACTTTGGGATATTGAAGATCCTTTGGCCGGCGTCGGAGCACATATTGAAACAATAATATGTAAAAGGAATGCATGTGTCGCCATGATGGTTTGAAATTGCGAGGTTGTAACTACTTAGGAGTGAGTGAGTGAGTATGGTTTTACACCGCTTTTAGCAATATTCCAGCAACATCACGGCGGGGGACACCAGAAATGGCTTCACACATTGTACCCATGTCGGGAATCGAACCCGGGTCTTCGGCGTGACGAGCGAACGATTTAACCACTAGGCTACCCGACCGTCCCAACTACTTAGGAGGGCCCTTGGGCTGTCGCAGATTTAGGGGGATTTTACGACGTAGTGTAACTAAGAGGGCTTTGTGAAACGACCTTAAAAGTGATGACGTTGTTTACGACGTGATATAGGAGGTCGTAGCGCTATGAGGCTTTGTGAAACGGCCTTAAACGTGATGACGTAGTTTACAACGTGATATAGGAGGTCGTAGCGCTAAGAGGCTTCGTGAAACGGCCTTAAACGTTTTGACGTAGTTTACGACGTGATATAGGAGGTCGTAACGCTAAGAGGCTTTGTGAAACGGCCTTAAACGTTATGACGTAGTTTACGACGTGATATAGGAGGTCGTAGCGCTAAGAGGCTTTGTGAAACGGCCTTAAAAGTGATGACGTTGTTTACGACGTGATATAGGAGGTCGTAGCGCTAAGAGGCTTTGTGAAACGGCCTTAAAAGTGATGACGTTGTTTACGACGTGATATAGGAGGTCGTAGCGCTAAGAGGCTTTGTGAAACGGCCTTAAAAGTGATGACGTTGTTTACGACGTGATAAAGGAGGTCGTAGCGCTAAGAGGCTTTGTGAAACGGCCTTAAAAGTGATGACGTTGTTTACGACGTGATATAGGAGGTCGTAGCGCTAAGAGGCTTCGTGAAACGGCCTTAAACGTTATGACGTAGTTTACGACGTGATATAGGAGGTCGTAGCGCTAAGAGGCTTTGTGAAACGGCCTTAAACGTTATGACGTAGTTTACGACGTGATATAGGAGGTCGTAGCGCTAAGAGGCTTTCTGAAACGGCCTTAAAAGTGATGACGTTGTTTACGACGTGATATAGGAGGTCGTAGCGCTATGAGGCTTTGTGAAACGGCCTTAAACGTTATGACGTAGTTTACAACGTGATATAGGAGGTCGTAGCGCTAAGAGGCTTCGTGAAACGGCCTTAAACGTTATGACGTAGTTTACGACGTGATATAGGAGGTCGTAGCGCTAAGAGGCTTTGTGAAACGGCCTTAAACGTTATGACGTAGTTTACGACGTGATATAGGAGGTCGTAGCGCTAAGAGGCTTTGTGAAACGGCCTTAAACGTTATGACGTAGTTTACGACGTGGTATAGGCGATCTAAGCGCTAAGAGCCTTTGTGAAATGACACCCAGGTAGCTAAGCGACCTCTTACCTTGTGATGACTCTGGCTCCTTGCCCTGCTGTTTCTGCTGTTTCCGCCATTTAGCTCGTCTGTTCTGGAACCACACCTATTGGGGGGAGTTGGTTGTACCCAAAACAGAAATACATCCCGGTCAAGATAACATGTCAATGAAAGTTACATTATCGACACATTGTAATTAAGTATGACTAAATGCACGTCCTTAGATATAACTGTGACAAAACAGCAATAAGTTAATACCAGATCGAGTGAGTGTGGATGATTTTACGCCGCTTTAAGCAGTATTCCAGCAATATCCCGGCGGGGGACTCCACAAATCGGCTTCACACATTGTACCCATGTTGGGAATCGAACATGGATCTTCGGCGTGACGAGCGAACGCTTTAACCACTAGGCTACCAGGCCGCCCGTATCAACCTTAAATATCACCGTAGCAAAATTCAGGGTACTTTTTAATCCTAACTTCATATGTCATAAGCGTTTAACGCCGTTTGATGGTATGCGAATAAGAAACAGTTCTACTTGTACTTATTTATCAAGGTATTTTGGCGTTTAGGCCCATGAACATTGCATCGTCTTTGACTCTAAAAAGCAAAAATGAAGACACATTTAAAGGACACGTGATTCCTTTTCTACAGTGAAAACAAAAAGTAGAATTAATCCCCAGTAACCTCTCTGTCGACTCATATGGTGGTAAGCTTCGACTCAGCTGACTGTGTGTCATCGTGCCCGTTTTTCTGATCCAAACTAGATAATATACAGGCCGGTGTTCCATAAATGGAATACGACGTTACATGATACTACACGTGTACAATGGCACCCTCCAGTTATGAGCCCGTGACGATCCGGGGTAGAATAGGTCTTCAGCAACCCATGCTTGCCGTAAAAGGCGACTATGCTTGTCGTAAAAGGCGACTAACGGGATCGGGTGGTCAGGCTCGCTGACTTGGTTGATGCATGTCATCAATCCCAATTGTGTGGATCGATGCTCGTGATATTAATCACTGGATTGTCTGGTCCAGACTCGATTATTTACAGACCGCCGTCATATAGCTGGAATATTGCTGAGTGCGGCGTTTAACAACAAACCAACCAACCAACCCTTCAGTTATGGTTAACTTCAGCAAAACGCACCTGAACACGCGCTTCTGTCAGGTCTATTTTCAGTGCTAGCTCTTCGCGGAAGAATACATCCGGGTAATGTGTCCTTTGGAAAGCCTTTTCAAGTTCCTCAAGTTGGAAACTGGTGAAAGTAGTGCGGTAGCGTCGTTGTTTGCGTCTAGCTTGTCCATCTAGAAAATACAAATACATGCAGTGTTAAAAATTCAGATAATTACAGCTAGAATTCGGACTGGCAAGTCTGAGAGATTACCTGTCCAGTTAAAAAAAATGCCAGCTCACACAAAGGTCTATATAGGATTCCAACTAACGCAACACAATATTCAATAACACAACATGGCATATCATGTTCAACTGATGAGTTCAACAACCAAACCGTTACCCCCTGTTCATAAAATGGACTTGTCCGACATTGCCGAGGTCGGATTGTATTCAAGGACTCCTCATTATTCAAAAACGGTTAAGCATTTTTAAAGCTTGTACATTTTATTAACATCTTTAAGAGGCTGTACAAAATGTTCATATCTCACATAAGAAGTAAACGACTCGTGGTCGTTGTTTATCGTATAATAAAACCCCACAGGGTGAATAAATCACTTATGGTTTATTCTCTCTGCATCGTTTTATTGTACGGCAAATAACTCCCAATCGTGGTTTATTTCTTAAATGAATGACTTCGTATAGACGATATATCAATATATGACATACAACGTGAGCACCAGTGGATAATCAGACTCGAATGTCTGCAGAAACAGGTCCCACGGGGCGGAAAAGGCAAAACAGTGTTGAAAATCACATGGCTGGATAACTGAAACCCAGACGACGAGGTGTTCCCACTTCCTACACATCACATCAAACATTACTCTTTGTAAAGATCAAGTGTCATCTTAAAGTTAGGTCCATGCGATTAACAGCATCAAGGGATTACAAAAGTCGTTTTGGCAAATATTTTGGATATTACGTGCGCTTCAATCAATCACTTGCATCGACACACGGCATCACCTTTTGTGAGTTTGGACTGTGCTCTCTCCCTGTCCATTGCAAACAGTCAATGATACATAAGCTTATGTGTCGTATCTGTGCTTTTGATGGCATTCCTTCTATAAATACATTCGTTAAACATATTTAAACGGCCGTATCACTCAAAAGGGATAATTTGTGCCGAGACTTTCAAACCGGCATAATCTCTATCTAAATGACGTTACCAAATTCAATTACAAATCACTGACTGTCAGCTGGTGGAAATTCATTACAAAACTCATTTACTGAGGTCTCAAATTCATACGTCGTAGTAATAACACAACATTCGTCGCCACTCGACCCTTTCCGTAACCTCGACATCTTCCCTTTCATTCGTCACTACTCGCCCCTTTCCGTAACCTGCAAGAAGCTTGTCCCGGAATATCACGAGTTGGTCACGAATGCGTCCCTCTCTGCACACAAGCCAATCAGAATGCGCGCATCAAAATGAATGAGTACACGTGTCGAAGAACCATCCGAAATAAGTTTGTTAATATAAAAAAGGATATTTTGTATCCAATATGGAGGACGAAATAGATTGAGCTTACATGCATACGTTTTTCGCGAACACCTGGTGTCATCACTGATTTCAGTGATCCATTTATTATCTTTTTACTGTTGTTTGCTGTTTCTGTAAGAAGGAGTAATATAACTGGCGTAATCGTCACAATAAGCAAACGGCCCATGAAGATCCGGGGTAGAATAGGTCTTCAGCAACCCGTGCTTGCCGCTAAAGGCGACTTAAGTGGCCGGTCGTAAGAGGCGACTAACGGGATCGGGTGGTCAGGCTCGCCGACTTGGTTGATGCATTTCATCGATCCCAATTGCGTGGATCGATATTCATGATGTCAATCACTGGATTGTCTGGTCCAGACTCGATTATTTACAGACCGCCTTCATATTAATTAGTTCAGTGGTAAACAACAAATAAACAAACAAAGTATACGCAACTCGTGAGCTTTAACGAATAAGGCTTCAAGAGTTAGCTCCCTTCGTAGAAAACTCCAACTCCAACACGACGGATTCAAAACGCGGTATAACTCACTACAGTAAAGTCTAAGTCTTAAGTGGATAAACACGTAAATGACGTCAATAAGATCAATTATTATAAGTACACTAACGAATAACACAGTATTTTTTAATTATGTTATGAACAAATGCCCCCATTAGCCATATATTAGGTAAAAGTTAAATATGACAGGCTAGTATTTATCATTTAATATTAAACGAGTACTGTAAATCTTGAAAAAGACGCGAGCGTGAATTAAATGCGAAAAATGCGAGTGGTCTATATTCGCATAATTGAACTTCGCATTTATGTAGTATATACTACATTGTACAACAAAATAGGCGTCGAAATTATATAGTTTATATTTAAATTCGAGTGTTATATTGAACGTTTTTACAATCATATCAGATAAGAATTTATGGCACATTATGAATCTCAAACATCTTTATCAGATTACTTCGCGTGGATACACTGTAAAACGTGTTTAAAATTTAAAATGCAAGACATATTTAGATCTAAACATCTTTTGAAATGTGTTAAAATCCTAAACGGAATACACATTGACGTGTTCTATCTAACACGTTAAGGGTATATGAGCACATGAAATGAGCTATCGTCTCACAGCCTATTTAAAGCACCTGAACACAACATCCCCATAATCTAAACATGTTTAGAATTAAAACATGTTTACGCAAAATGCATATAATTGTGTATGATCCTAATAATCTAAACATGTTCAGATCAAGTCCATATCATTGGGCATTAAGTCAGATATGGATAAGATGTAAAATATACTTCACACCTTAAGACCCAAATCACGTTTAGCTCCTAAACATGGTCAGATTCTAAACATGTTTAGACCTAAACGCGTCAAAACTATGGGACAATGAACATGTTTAGGTTTGTGTTTGGGAACTAAGCACATGTTCTACAGTGTACTAATACACAATAAAATTATTTCATACCAGGGCCCCGTTCCACAAAGCCATTTTAGCGCTAAGGTGATCGTAACTCCCATTCTATAACACTGGCTTTCGATAGTCGTAGCGGTAAGATCGCTTTGAGGAACGGTGCCCAGTATCGTACACAACTGACGGAATAATACATGGGGGCACGGGTGGCCCAGTCGTCTAAGGCGCCGCGATTCGCTGTGCAGAGTTGCGTCCCTTGGGCATGCCAGAAACCTAGGATTGTGGGTTCGAATCCCGGTTCGCCCCGATTATGTTTCTAGGTTTGTCAGCACCATACCCGTGCTCGTGGGTTTCACCGATGTGGTAAACGTCTGAGACCTGCATCACTTCGGGCTTTCCTCCCACAATAAGCCGACACGCCGCGATATAACTGGAATACTGTTAAAAGCGGCGTTAAACCCAACTCACTCACTCACTCACCAGGGGACTGGATTGATGAGTCAGGAGATGCCGCAACAGACAAGAGCAACACAAGGTATGAGACATCGAAAATAGGATTAAAGAAGGTGTGATGAGGAAGTAAACGAAAACAGACAGTCGGACATTTGTTTGCCATATCAAAACACCACCATTGCCGGGTAAAATCAAGTTATAATTTCCATTTACTTCGAGGGTAAAACTGATTTGTTTGTTATGTTTCCAGATAGGCTGTGCAGCCACTGTCGTAATTTCAGTAACGTTGTTTATAACAAAATAAATTGACTGGAGGTGTTATATTTCTTCTCATTTCGCAAACTTAATTAAACTAACAATATTTGTCAAATTACCACTGCAGCGTTCATTGGATATAATCAGAGTTTACGCAAGTACGGATTCCCCTACATTTGTTGTTCGCGCTGTCTCTTGTAGGCCTTCAGTCAGCGAAATTGTCTCCCAGCACCGGAACTCACACGGCCGGGGGTCACGTGATTGTAGAACGCGCTGTGAGGCATGATGGCGCAAGGATGAAGCCAAACAAATTCTCTCCTCAGACAGAAGTTGTCGGCCTTTGTATGTTATTTTATAAAGCTACAAACAGAGAACGGAGTTCCACATCGCCTGCGCTATTTTGAGCAAATAATTAAAACTTTTGATCAGAACATGGCTGTTTTTTACACATATAAAATATCCTAAAGCTTTCACATGACCTTAACAGTTCTTACTTCCCTATTTCGACACGTTGAAGTAACGGTAAAATATCTTTCAGAACACTTTAATGGCCATTTCGGACATGCATACCGTATGCCATTATTTAATTTTGTGTAAATGTCAATTAGATCTTTGCATTAAGCCATTCATTCATCGTGGATTTATATTTACTTATCGTAGCAATTTTATCCAATCGTTCAAATGATTCAATCGTTTTATGTGACACGTCGTTGTGTTTGTCAAGTGAACAGACTATAGCTTAATAACTCGTGCCACTCATTCAGCTGTTGGTAATTTGTGTTTGCTGCCATGTCGTATAAGGTACTTGTACATGTTTTGTCAAACTTACATCTACTACATAATTTGTCACAATTGTTTGTTTGTTGTTTAACGCCGCACTCAGCAATATTCCAGCTATATGACGGCGGTCTGAAAAATAATCGAGTCTGGAACAGACAATCCAGTGATTGATATCATGAGCATCGGTCCACGTAATTGGGATAGATGACATGCATCACCCAAGTCAGCGAGTCTGACGACCCGATCCCGTTAGTCGCCTCTTACGACAAGCATAGTCGCCTTTTACGGCAAGCAGGGTGGCTGAAGACCTATTCTACCCCTGATCTTCACGGGTCTGTCACAATTGTTATTGATCATTTCCGGTGAAATACATTTCAATTTGTCATGGTGAGTTCTTAATTTTTATGCAATCGTATTGCTATGGATCTACGACACGGTTACTTGATCTATCTGGATGTACATGCCTCGTTATCTCGAATGTCCGGATATCTCAAAGTTACAAGTTCGAGATAAAGAGGCTCGGCTGTATTTTGGATTCATTAATCGTTCTGTTAATTCAATCACATACCTATTCCGGATTTTCTCACAGATTCTCCACACGTTAACCGATCCGTTAATTCATGTTAACCGACCGACATGTTAATATATTTATCTGTGGGTATGGATTCCGATGCAGGGGCATCAATAACATTCAATCCCACTTACAGGCATCGTAATTGTACCATGATTGGAAAATGACAACACTACGGCGATTGAGAGCTCTCAAGATCACATCCCTTTATTTGACTTCGCTCAAATGCCACACTGAACGTACGCAGCGCGTGTGGGATAATTGTGACCAAACATGTCTTTATCTCAAGGGGACATCTGATCCTAGTCCCGCTAGCGTTGAAACCTAACAGTATCACACAGCACGACACTAAGCCGCTGTAACCAGGCTTTGTCATGCCGAGGCGCTCGCTCCAGCGCAATCGATATCCTTTGAAGAAAAAGCTCAGGCTTGGCTTTGTTCTTTCGCGCCGCTTGCCATCTTTGGGAAGGTTTGATACGTATCTTGTGTAATGTTTATAACGTGTCATCCATTTTGGTGATTTGTTAATCCTTAAAACATATGATTTGTTTGTTTGTTTGTTTGTTGTTTAACGCCGCACTCAGCAATATTGCAGCTATATGACGGCGGTCTGTAAATAATCGAGTCTGGACCAGACAATCCAGTGATTGACAGCATGAGCATCGATCCGCGCAATTGGGATCGATGACATGCATCAACCAAGTCAGCGAGCCTGACCACCCGATCCCGTTAGTCGCATTTTACGACAAGCATAGTCGCCTTTTACGGCAAGCATGGGTTGCTGAAGATCTATTCTACCCCGGAATCTTCACAGGTCTTAAAACATATGAATGTCGACATATGATTTTCTATAAAACTAGTGCGTAATTGTGTTTTGGAATTGGGATTTCTTATCGTCATTGTCGTATGAAAGAGTATAAAATGATATCGTATTGCGAGACAAAGTGTGAGGGTGAAGAAATCAATGAAAAAAACGACAAAACCATTTCCATATGCAATAGAAATCTCTGCATAAAGCAGGGTCGATTGTACGATTCCGGCTATATCATGAGCGATGGAAGTGTATGATATGACTTCATAATACTGAACACGTATTATATAAATACCAACAATGGGAATTAAACGCGTATTACATAAATACCAACAATGGGAATAATACACGTATTATATAAATACCAACAATGGCAATTATACACGTATTATATAAATACCAACAATGGGAATTATACGCATATTATATAAATACCAACAATGGGAATTATACACGTATTACATAAATACCAACACTGGGAATTATACGCGTATTATATAAATACCAACTATGGGAATTATACGCGTATTATAAAAATACCAACAATGGGAATTATACACGTATTACATAAATACCAACACTGGGAATTATACGCGTATTATATAAATACCAACTATGGGAATTATACGCGTATTATAAAAATACCAACAATTGGAATTATACACGTATTTTATAAATACCAACTATGGGAATTATACGCGTATTATATAAATATCAACAATGGGAATTTTAACAATAGCATGTGTTCTCATTTCAAGGTCATAATTTCTTTTCATCATTTCATTGATGAGGTGGTAACATAAAATAATATCAATGAAAAAACGAAATGTTCTTTGACAGAAGCATGCATTACGTGCTGATGACAAATAAGGTATGCGCTTTATTGTTTATTCCCTGTAATATATATAAAGTGTATTGTGGAGTATTAGTATGGATAACAACTTCTACCTAGAAATGAAGCAGCACGAACTCTCATCAAGAAGTATTGTCAAGACGTTGCTATATATAACAATACTCCTTGTCCTGTTTATATTTAACTTCTAGTTTAGAGTCTCAAGTGTAATGTGATCAATTTGTCAATATGGCCGCCTTCATATAGCCGGAATATTGCTGAGTGCGGCGTTAAACAAACAAACAAACAAACAGCCAAGTAAACAAACAAACCAACAATCAAAGACGAATGTACCTTTGAACATCGCACATTATTGTATCAGCTACACGTTAAACTGGGGCCTGTAAATAATCAAGTCTGGAACAGGCAATCCAGTGATTGATATCATGAGCAACGATGCACGCCCACAGGTTCGAAGACACGATATCAACCACGTCACCAAGCCTGCCCACCCGATCAATGTAGTGGTCCCTTTCGACAAGCAGAGGATGATGGGAACCTATTCTAACCCTGTACTCCCAGTTACAAGACATGTGCGCTGAGGTGCCGCAATACAACACGCAATATTGTGTCCCTTAGTCGTGACAGGATCCGGTGATCATGTGTTCGATCAATAGTCCCAGAAGGACATCCTTGGTTTGTCGTCACATTACTCGTGGATTTCACCACGTTGTTAAACGTCTGGGTTTTCATACATGACAGGACATGCAGCGTCCGGGTTTCATAAAGGGCAGGACATGCAGCGTACGGGCTTTCATACAGGGCAGGACATGCAGCGTCCGGGCTTTCATACAGGACAGGGCATGCAGCGTCCGGGCTTTAATGCAGGGAAGGACATGCAGCGTTCGGGCTTTCATACAGGACAGGACATGCAGCGTCCGGGCTTTCATACAGGACAGGACATGCAGCGTCCGGGCTTTCATACAGGACAGGACATGCAGCGTCCGGGTTTTCATACAGGACAGGACATGCAGCGTCCGGGCTTTCATGCAGAGAAGGACATGCAGCGTTCGGGCTTTCATACAGGACAGGACATGCAGCGTCACGGTTTTCATACAGGGAAGGACATGCAGCGTCGGGCTTTCATACAGGGCAGGACATGCAGCGTCCGGGCTTTCATACAGGGGAGGACATGTAGCGTCGGGTTTTCATACTGGACAGGACATGCAGCCTACGGGCTTTCATACAGGGCAGGACATGCAGCGTCCGGGCTTTCATACAGGACAGGACATGCAGCGTCCGGGCTTTCATACAGGACAGGACATGCAGCGTCCGGGTTTTCATACAGGACAGGACATGCAGCGTCCGGGCTTTCATACAGGACAGGACATGCAGCGTCCGGGCTTTCATACAGGGGAGGACATGCAGCATCGGGTTTTCATACGGGGCAGGACATGCAGCGTCCGGGCTTTCATACAGGGCAGGACATGCAGCGTCCGGGCTTTCATACGGGGCAGGACATGCAGCCTACGGGCTTTCATACAGGGCAGGACATCAGCTTACGGGCCTTCATACAGGGCAGGACATGCAGCGTCCGGGCTTTCGTACAGGGCAGGACATGCAGCGTCGGGCTTTCATACGGGGCAGGACATGCAGCCTCCGGGCTTTCATACAGGACATGACATGCAGCGTCCGGGCTTTCATACAGGACAGGACATGCAGCGTCCGGATTTTCATACAGGACAGGACATGCAGCGTCCGGGCTTTCATACAGGACAGGACATGCAGCGTCCGGGTTTTCATACAGGACAGGACAGGACATGCAGCGTCCGGGCTTTCATGCAGAGAAGGACATGCAGCGATCGGGCTTTCATACAGGACAGGACATGCAGCGTCACGGTTTTCATATAGGGAAGGACATGCAGCGTCGGGCTTTCATACGGGGGAGGACATGCATCGTCGGGTTTTCATACAGGGCAGGACATGCAGCCTACGGGCTTTCATACAGGGAATGATATGCAGCGTCCGGGCTTTCATACAGGATAGGACATGCAGCGTCCGGGCTTTCATACAGGACAGGACATGCAGCGTCCGGGCTTTCATACAGGGCAGGACATGCAGCGTCCGGGCTTTCATACAGGATAGGACATGCAGCGTCCGGGCTTTCATACAGGGCAGGACATGCAGCGTCCGGGCTTTCATAGGACATGCAGCGTCGGGCTTTCATACAAGACAGGACATGCAGGGTACGGGCTTTCATACAGGACAGGACAATCAGTATATACCTTATACTTTTCATGACTATTTTGCATTTTACGACCAGAGGAATCTGTTTGGGCAAACAATTGCGACTGATTGCTCTCTGGCGTTAGAGTTACAATATTTCCTCCTACATGAGGTTGTCACATCGTGATATACATGTAACTGAAATACGTTTAAAACGGCGTCAGTCCAGTCCGTCCGCTATGAGGTATTATGTATAATGAATACTTACGAACAGTGCTCGCATCAAAATTGACTTTAGACTCTGGGTTGAATATATCGAAGTTATTAAGCCTTGGTTCGTTGTCTTCTTTGGCCGAGGAGGAGGAACTTGAGTTTGGAGTGAAACCTAGAAACAAATATGAACGTTTGAAAAGCCACACTGCTATAAATGTAGTTTATTGGTCAATACACCGAAGACATTTCGTAATAATTTTGAATTTATATCAATTATCGTAACACATTTTTATGTATATCAACGGATTTTAAATTGAGGGATCAGTGAACTTGCAGGATTTTATACAGAACACATAGGGTCACAAAATATTATCGGACAATTAAATATTTCTAAGCATATACTTAGCAATCATTGAGCCGTTCCTTTCGGAACTACGAGTGACTATTTTACATAAAATACCATAAAAATAAAATTAACTTAGACTAAACTATAGAAACAATGTTACAGTTAGGTGAATATTAGACATTACGCTGTGTAAAAAATATTTAAGCAGGTTTTGGCACTTTCTCGACATCATCTAAAGACATGAAACCTTATAGAACTTGGATGCATTTGTTAAAAAGACGGTGTGTGTAAAATAATAAACTATGATTATACAATACATTATATTATTGGTTTTCTCCACACGGATGTGTTCCAAATCCATTTCAGTTTATTGTTTTAAACCTGTTTGAAACATCTTTCCCATATCATTTTTTGGTTGTATTTTAGTAATTGTGTTGAATGTATTTGAGTCATAATGTTGGTTGTTTGGTTATTATGATGGTTTTAGTTGGTTGCATTTTAGTTATTATGTTTGTTGCTTTTGTGTATTTTGTCGGTTGTATTTAAGTGATTATTTTGGCAGTATTTTGAATTATATTGTGGTTTTATTTGAGTTATGATGTTGGTTGCTTTTTTGATATTATGTTGGTTGTATTTAAGTCCAGTTATATTAAGTATTTAATTTTGGCTGTATTGTTGATGCTATGATTATTAAATGTTTTGTTATGATGTTGGTGGTATTGTTCCTTTGTCAGTTTTCGTTTGGCGATTATTGTGGCTACATATAAGTTATTATTTTCGTTGTATTTCCGTTATGACGTTTGTTGTATTTATGTTATTTCGTTAGTTGTAATTTGAATATTGTCAGTTGTAGTATGGATATTATTGTGGTAGCATTATAGTAATAATGTTGCTTGTTTGTTGGTTATTATGTTGGTTGTATTTCCTTAATATTTTCGTTGTATTTCCGTTGTGACGTTTGTTGTATTTTGGTTATGTTTTTAATTGTATTTTGGTTGTTATGTTGGGTCTGTACATGACATGCTATGATGTTGGTTATAGTTTAGCTCAGTGTCGGTTGTATGTTCTGAGGTTACGTCAGACATTCATTACATTTTACAACTTACCGGACGACAGTTATATAATTACTGTTTGTATGTATATGTTGGTCATAAATGTCGTTAAAGGCGACTACGCTCGCCGTAAGAGGCGACTAAGGATATTGGGTGGATAAGCTCGCTGACTTGGTTGACGCATGTCATCGTATCCCAATTGCGTGGATCGATGCTCATATCAATCATTTGATTGTCTGGTCCAGACTCGATTATTTACAGACCGCCGTCATATAGGTGGAATATTGCTGAGTGCGGCGTTAAACAACAAACCAACCAACCAACCAAAAGCATAAGTAATCTTTCTAAATCACGAAACCTCCAAGAATACAAGGAACCATCTGTTTCAAAACAATCTGTATGTGTAAATTGTTTTGATAATGTCTATTCATTTTGGGATCCTATTATATCACAAAACAATGTTATACACTGTTATACAGTTTATCCTTTATTCCAAAGTAGTAAATTAAGGTTACACGAGATGACCTTTTTGTTTGAATTTTCTTTGCCTTGCAGAATTTTTTCCCGTTTTAATAACAAGATTGCCTATTCTGAATAAGCATCAGTGTAAGAAAACAGTTTCACCAAGCCCTAGACTGAAACCTTCCAATCTTCCCATGTCCATTAGCATTAAGTCAAGTCTACAGGACATGACTATAACGGATTACATATTCCTACAAATTAACATATATGGTTTCATTTGTCCACTGACCACATGGTTAGCGTTGGCAGTGCGCGACAGTCGACGGCAGAATCCCGTCAAGTTTGTCCGAGAAGCATGTTGTCTTTCCAACTTGTGACGTCTAATACACGCGAGGATTCTTTAAAAGACACGCGTTCATTTGAGCACATGGTTGTTGTTGATGGTTTGTTGTTTAACGCCGCACTCAGCAATATTCCAGCTATATAACGGCGGTCTGTAAATAATCGAGTCTGGTCCAAACAATCCAGTGATTGATACCATGAGCATCGATCCACGCAAATGGGATACGATGACATGCATCAACCAAGTCAGCGAGTCAGACCACCCGATCCCGTTAGTCGCCTGTTACGACAAGCATAGTCGTCTTTTACGGCAAGCATGGGTTGCTGAAGATCTATTCTACGCCGGATCATCACGGGTCTGAGCATATGGACTGTGTGATGGCTGATATTGGGCTGTATATACACTACTTTACCTTCAGATAACTTTAAGAATGGCTGTACTTTAATCTACTCACAAAATCAGGTGGGTTTATGAGCAAGTACGATGTTGGCTTGACAACGTTGAGGAACCTAAGATTTCAGGTATCAGGTATCACGAAAAGTACAAAACTGTAGTTGTATAACACGCAGAGCATAGATACCAAGTCTGTAAATGTAATTATTGTTTAAGTTTAGAAGAATATCAGAAAATATTGGACCCGTTAATATTCCGGCGTAGAATAGGTCTTCAGCAACCCATGCTTGCCGTAAAAGATGACTATGCTTGTCGTAAAAGGCGACTAACGGGATCGGGTGGTCAGACTCGCTGACTTGGTTGATGCATGTCATCGATCCCAATTGCGTGGATCGATGCTCATGATATTACTCAGTGGATTGTCTGGTCCAGACTCGATTATTTACAGACCGCCGTCATATAGCTGGAATATTGCTGCGTGTGGCGTTAAACAACACACCAACCAACCAGAAAATATTGCCTTAATGGAATACGAATTCATTGTAAATCATCGTCATCATTACTGTAAAATTCTCATTTTAAGGGAACGCTTTCACCACACACATCCATACACTTGTGTAGTTAATTGCCATGACACGAAACTGTGTTATTAACACTTCTCCTTCAATACAAGTGCATGGTGGTGTCCCAATTTCAGGCTGTCGTCGAGACAGATCTTTTGTGTTCTCACATTGCTCTATCGAATTTACAGAACATTCGAAATGATTTCGAGTGTCAGCGAAACCCAGCGAAACTATCGAAAGAAAACTATTTTCAACTCCAAAGTTTGCAGCTACCCTCTGTTACAATTCTATCACCGTAGTCAATTTCCTCAACGACACTGAGTCTCGATATATGGTATGATTGCAATCAAGATGGTCCCGCTCGCCCTTATGCTGTATTTCAGCTGTCGAAACCATTTTGGCTTCACGGTATTAAGTTAGGAGGATATTTGGCTGATCGCTGATTATACGTCAAGCTTGCTGACAATGAAGCCATTGCCAGCTTCTTGAGACAGAGCGGCGGTGTGTTCGGCGAGATACAAACTTTTGTACATGTCTCTCGGAAGATTGTATTTTGGTCTGGTCTCCGAATTTCATTAGCACGCCTGTTATGATTATGGCTTCCGCATAATCCCCCGAATCTCAATCTCAGTTAACACCACGAGGTGATCCTCACATCGACGTAACAAAAAATATAATTATGTTAGGAACAATTTAGTCATGCTTGCATACCAATGGGAGACGATATTGTTATTAATGCCTTTTTTTTGTTTTAATTTTAACCGACCCGTGAAGATCCGGGGTAGAATAGGTCTTCAGCAACCGATGCTAGCCGTAAAAGGCGACTGTGCTTGTCAGACTCGCTGACTTGGTTGATGAATGTCATCGTATCCCAATTGCGAGGATCGATGCTCATGATGTTAATCACTGGATTGTCAGGTCCAGACTCGATTATTTACATATCGCCGTCATATAGCTGGAATATTGCTGGGTGAGGCGTTAAACAACAAAGAAACAAACTCTATTTTAGCTAATTTATATAATTGTTTATTATTGCTAGAATTTAATAACATAATTACAGATAATTTCTAACTACGTGTTTCTGCCACGGGACATTTTATTTCTACAGTATTAGACACATAAGCGCCATCATGTTATGTCAGCGAGTGAGTTAAATTGTACAGTCACATCGCAGCATATCAGCCAGAGCATGTAAATTTATTAAAACCTGTCGACGATGGACAGTTCAATAACTTGATTTGATTTAACACTGGTATTAGAGTTATGTTAGTTGTTTATTAGTATCTGTGTCAATCAAGAATGGTTATTCTCTTGCACTGACATTTAATATTATATTTGTTTGCTGTTTAACGTTGCATATAGCAATATTCCAGCTATATGACGGTGGTTAAAATGTTCTTACTATTATTTGACAGTGCAATATAACACCGGGTTATAGATCGCCAGCAATCAAAGGAAGACCGCAATAATAATGAGTGAGTGAGTTTGGTTTAATGCCGCTTTTAACAGTATTCCAGTTATATCGCGGCGTGTCAGCTTAGTGTGGGAGGAAAGCCCGAAGTGATTCAGGACTCAGACGTTTACCACTTCGGTGAAACCCACGAGCACGGGTATGGTGCTGACAAACCTAGAAACATATAATCGGGGCGAACCGGGATTCGAACCCACAATCATAGGTTTCTGGCGTACCCATGGGACGCAACTCTGCACAGCGTATCGCGGCGCCTTAGACGACCGGGCCACCCGTGCCCCCTACAATAATAAAGACAATCGGGACTTAGGGTGCCTCTGATACCTCTGCTACAATAGTATGTCGCTGATATTATCAGGTTCTTAATCCTCTTAATATAACTGTTGATGTCCCTTTCGTCATTAACAGCAAACAGCTTGATTAAATATGACTTGGTCTCAGCACACTAAAGCGATATCATTGGGACGGAACATCTATATGAGAGTTGAATGTCCATAGTTAAGATCGCTTTGTGCAAAGTGGACGAATATTTGGCGATATAAAAAGAGGTTGACATTATGACATCTGCCTAATCTTACTTTGATATAACACGTTTGTCTTCCATTGAATGTGGGGCGGTCGGGTAGCCTAGTGGTTAAAGCGTTCGCTCGTCACGCCGAAGACCCGGGTTCGATTCCCGACATGGGTACAATGTGTGAAGCCCATATTGGTGTCCCCCGCCGTGATATTGCTGGAATTTTGCTGAAAGCGGGGTAAAACCATACTCACTCACTTCATTGAATGAGGCCTAACCTTGGCTGCTGGGGATCTATAACCCATTTTATCTTGTGTTAAGTAACTGTTTCCTCTTTTAAATGTTCCTTAAGTGGTTTTAAAACATAAATGTGATATATTGCTAGTTATTATAGTGTCCATCGCTGAAAAATTTCAGTAAATTGGTGTTATGTGTTAATAACATTTTCTTGTCACGATATGACTGAAATACTGTCGATGTGATTAAACTCACACATTTCTCTACCGACCCGTGAAGTTCCGGGGTAGCATAGGTCTTCAACAACCCATAAAAGGCGACCATACTTGACGAAAGAGGCAACTAACGGGATCGGTAGGTCAGGCTCGCTGACTTGGTTGATGCATGTCATCGAATCCCAATTGCGTGGATCGATGCTCATGATATTAATCACTGGATTGTCTGGTCCAGACTCGATTATTCACAGACCGCCGTCAAAAAGCTGGAATATTGCTTAGTGTGGTGTTAGACAACAAATAAACAAAGAAACAAACAATTGCATCCATAGACAAATCAGAAAAACGTGAAAGACCTAACACTAACGGGATAATCAATGATGAATGTGTAAGTGAAATACGAATCTTTCTTCACGAGCATCAGAATGTGTTAAACTATTCTTGACAGGGAGTTAAATATCACAGCATTCCCGAAATAACTATAAAAGCACGACATTCGAAATATTGAGATACGCATATATGACAACATTGCATCATGATTATTGTTTACTCGAGTTTGATGACAAGTTTGGTACATGTTGTCCGTTTCTCGTTAGTTGCTGTTTGTGTTCACGTTTGAAAGTTCACGTTTTTCTGTAACTTGTTTCTTTCCTGAGAGAGGTAGAAACAGATTCAGGTTTGTGTGTGATTGAGAGGAACAGATTCAGGTCTGTGTGTGATTGAGAGGAACAGATTCAGGTCTGTGTGTGAGTGAGAGGAACAGATTCAGGTCTGTGTGTGATTGAGAGGAACAGATTCAGGTCTGTGTGTGAGTGAGAGGAACAGATTCAGGCATGTGTGTGAGTGAGAGGAACAGATTAAGGTCTGTGTGTGAGTGAGAGGAACAGATTCATGTCTGTGTGAATGAGAGGAACAGATTCAGGTCTGTGTGTGAGTGAGAGGAACAGATTCAGGTCTGTGTGTAAGTGAGACGAACAGATTCAGGTCTGTGTGTGAGTGGGAGGAACAGATTCAGGTCGGTGTGTGAGTGAGAAGAACAGATCCAGGTCTGTGTGTGAGTGAGAGGAACAGATTCAGGTCTGTGTGTGAGTGAGAGGAACATATTTAGGTCTGTGTGTGAGTGAGAGGAACAGATTCAGTCCTGTGTGTGAGTGAGATGAACAGATTCATGTTCTGTGTTTGAGTGAGAGGAACAGATTCAGGCCTGTGTGTGAGTGAGAGGAATAGATTTAGGTCTGTGTGTGAGTGAAAGGAACAGATTCAGTCCTGTGAGAGGAACAGATTCAGGTCTGTGTGTGAGAGGAACAGATTTAGGTCTGTGTGTGAGTGAGAGGAAAAGATTCATGTCTGTGTGTGAGTGAGAGGAACAGATTCAGGTCTGTGTGTGAGTGAGAGGAACATATTCAAGTCTGTGTGTGAGTGAGAGGAACAGATTCAGGTCTGTGTGTGAGTGAGAGGAACAGATTCATGTCTGTGTGTGAGTGAGAGGAACAGATTCATGTCTGTGTGTGAGTGAGAGGAACAGATTCATGTCTGTGTGTGAGTGAGAGGAACAGATTCAGGTCTGTGTGTGAGTGAGAGGAACAAATTCAGGTCTGTGTGTAAGTGAGGGGAACAGATTCAGGTCTGTGAGTGAGTGATAGGAACACATTCATGTATGTGTGTGAGTGAGATGAACAGATTAAGGTCTGTGTGTGAGTGAGATGAACAGATTAAGGTCTGTGTGTGAGTGAGAGGAACAGATTCAGTTCTGTGTGTGAGTGAGAGGAACAGATTCAGGTCTGTGTGTGAGTGAGAGGAATAGATTTAGGTCTGTGTGTGAGTGAGAGGAACTGATTCAGTCCTGTTTGTGAGTGAGAGGAACAGATTCAGGCCTGTGTGTGAGAGGAACAGATTTTGGTCTGTGTGTGAGTGAGAGGAACAGATTCAGGTCTGTGTATGAGTAAATGAGTTGAATGTTTCGCAGGCATTAGCAATATTCAAGTATCACGGACGGCGCAAAAAAAAATGGTTTTACCCATGTGAGAAATGGAACACAGACTCTGAGGTGACAAACGAACACCTTTACCGCCAGGCTACTCCATCGGCCCTCAAGTGGTATTGAGGTATTCCTCATTTTGTAATTAGATGAACTTACAGTTATGGTTAGCTTTTAATGACGCGGTAACATAGTATGGCTTGACAAATTGTTTGATCAGGTTTACACCATCGCAAAGCTCTCAAAACGTGGAGGACATCTCCAAGTTTGACGCATCAGCATGTGATCCAGTGTTTAGTCAGGTGAACTATTGACTTGCCTTTACATGTGTTTGTGACGGGTGACACCGTTGGACAGGCTCCGCGCAACTTTTCGTGAACACCTGGTGTCATCACTATTTGATAGTGATTCATAAACATATGCTTATGACGTAGTCGGAATCGTCAATGGGCTGTACTTTCAGAAGAAATTCCATATGATTATGGAAACGGTTTTTGCGCTTTATATACGTGACAACAAAAACTGCACAGAGGAAAGTGATTGAAAGATATTGTTTCATACATCCCGACATCACGGCTTTACCAAAACATCCTCAATTGTTGTTGGACGTTGGGGCTTTTATAAAAAAATAAAACTAACGCGAGCTGTCATTTTCAGCAGATTACACAAACTGGATATGATAACTTATTCGTCCGCCTAAGGTTAGTGAATGACTTTTGTTTTACGCCCGTTAAGCACTTTTCCAACCTTTTAAGTCGTGAGCGCCAGGATTGGCCTTCGCACATTTAACCTACGCAGGGAAAGGAACCTGTGCAATCAAAGCTTTATACAACAGGCTATCCCAGCGCCCCTCTCTTCCTCAATATAAACTGGATACTATGCATATGTAGCGTAGATTCTGTGAGAATCTAGACCGCCACCGTGGTCTAGTGGTAGAGCGTCCGCCAGGGGAGCGGAAGGTCCGGGGTTCGATCCCCGGCCGCGTCATACCAAAAGACGTTAAAAGATGGTACTTGTTGTTACCCTGTCTGGCGCTCGGCATTAAACAAGGACTGGTCGGCTCGGAGTCAGTATACTGTGTCTGAGTGGGGTATTCATGTTAAACTGCGGCATGGTATCTCAGTGAGCTAGCACTAAAAATCGGCATCAGTCCGACTAGTATAAGCAGGCACACACACACATACACGTGCATGCACGTCGCTATATAAGTGCAATAATCTTGGACGCGACGTTGAAACCCCATTTCACCTCACCTCACCTGTGAGAATCTTACCGCAATAATACCACATCATTTGACCCTATTCACTTATGCATCATTTTGGCAACAGTACAACATGTATCTTAATTTGATGTCAAAAAGCGTTCCTGACATCACTGTTATGTACAGAGAAAAAAAGAATTTTAAGGAAGCGATCAAGCCCAAAAGACTTACCTAAATATCTATCGTCGAAACCATTAGTCGGATGGCTTGGATGGATGGTGTTTTCCCTGGGTGGAGTGTTGGGGTGGTGATTGTTGGTAGGCTGTGACGGGGCAAGGAGACCATTGACAGAATAGGGCCCAGGGGTTGGGCGCACGCCGAAGTCCGTCATGGACGTCCCCAGGTGGTAGTAGCGTCGGTCAGGTCCGAGGGTGGGGTCCTCATCCTCTACGAGTCGAGACTGGAAGTAGCTATCCATCTGTGTTAGCTGGTGGTTTTAAGAACGTTCTAAATGTAATTTACAACGGTCGGCTCATTGTGTTGATCGGATCGCGAGAACTTGATTTAATATTCCCCATTACGAAACTTTTGCGGCTTCAAGGCGTTAGTTTCTGAAATTTATCCAATCAAATTTGATTAGAACCTCGCTGTGCGCACACAGGCTTCTTACCATTCGACGCGAGCCTGCCTTGGTGTCAGTCAAAGAAGCGTCGAATAATTAAGTCAGTTTTATTCTTTGACATGAAAATCTTGTGCGGAGATATCGAATGTGTATATATGGCATTGTGTCGTAAGATGTTGGTCAATTTGAGAATAATGTACTAATAGCCATGATAAATTTTTAAAAAATAATTATTTTGATCTGTATTTTACGTTTTGTTGCGCTGAAGCTCAGGGGATCAACGATTGAGAGACTAAGCGTTCTTGCTGATATCTCTTACGACGGATGCAGGGTTGAGAGGTCGTTTAACATTTGATCATGTGAGAGATTCACAGGAATACGGGTGGCAGGGGTGAACGGAAGTAATCTGTTTTGGGTGTAAAGGGAAGGCAATCATACCCACGAGAATCCCGCTAACAACAGAGGGTCACCGAATGTAAAACCTTTTCAGCAAATGTAATTACGTTTCCAAATTGATATCCTAATGTTTTCTGTACAAGAGCTATATTTACGGAACTGTGATAAACGATACACATTTAATTACGTTTGTAGGGGTTCTTCAGCAAATGAAAAGTTTGAGAAACTCAATTAAACACTGATTTGATCAGCTTCATGTTTAACAAGAATGTCTGCGTTGTTTGCAATGCTAAGAAATTCAGCACCGGGGCTGCTTGGATACAAGCTGCATTGAAACGCGAATATCTATTTCTTGAGCGAACGTAATTAAGGTTTCTTTGTGCGCATTGGAATTGCGGGGTAGTTTAATGTAGGACTCACATTGTCAACTTTGGTAAACTCTTTGTAAAACATCTCTCTGCTGTTTCGTCTATGGCTGACAGGGACAGCTTGCACACAACTGCATAACTGACCATGTGCCATGCTGCTCTCTTGTCATAAGTTGTACTGTAAATATGTTCTTGTTTAACTTATAACCTATATGCATGTTGCTGTTGCACAATTCTTACAAGTCAGGATTTCCTTTAAAATGGAATGCATAACGTTGCCTGTCATCGAACTCATTAAAATCATTAGACCCGTGAAGATTCCGGGGTAGAATAGGTCTTCAGCAACCCATGCTTGCCGTAAAAGGCGACTATGCTTGTCGTAAAAGGCGACTTACGGGATCGGGTGGTCAGTCTCGCTACTTTATTGATGCATGTCATCGATCCCAATTGCGAGGATCGATGCTCATGATGTCAATCACTGGATTGTCTGGTCAAGACTCGATTATTTTACAGACCGCCGTCATATAGCTGGAATATTGCTGAGTGCGGCGTTAAACAGCAAACAAACAAACAAACATTAAATTCATTAGGTTTGGCAGTTCTCCTACCCAGTGCACAACCATATCAATTCAAGAAGAACAAACATACACTGACTAGAGCATTAGTAAAATTACACGTGATGCGATGACGGTCCTTCTTTTAAGCTTTAAATGTTGTTATTGATTAAAGGGCCGATTTGGAGTTTCTTGAGATTTACAGACCACTGCATTTGAAAAGAAATATAATAAAGAAAGGAAATTTAAACATTTAACCGTGCATTTTTTTAGCACATATCTATTTTTTAGGGATGGAATTACTAAGGTAACTGTTTAGATACTAATACTTGTACGCACATCAGTTTGAAAAAGGGATTTGACAGTGGAGCTGCTGATCGATTTACGTGTATATGATACTTATCGCATGGCTGTCAATTGCTGGTCCGTTTTAAATTCACAGCTGGCTCCTTGGTTGTCTTTGAGAGGTTTGTTGGTGATGTACGAATTGTGTCTCGACATTCTATGCTGCAGTTAGAGGATGTTTTTGAGCATGATGATTCGATTAACTATATGTGTCCAAATGAAAACAGAAGTTAATTCAGAACACTATCAAGGCAAGCCCACACTAACGCAACGAAATTTCTACGTGCGATTTTGCGCTTTGATTAAAGACGTTCATTATACATGCAAAACAAAATACCTATTAGTTTCTGATCAAGAGAAACTCGGACTTTAATAAAGCTTTAGTTCGTTGCTGGTTTTTGTTTGTTTGTTGTTTAACGCCGCACTCAGCAATATTCCAGCTATATGACGGAGGTCTGTAAATAATCGAGTCTGGACCATACAATCCAGTGATTGACATCATGAACATCAATCCACGCAATTGGGATACGATGACATGCATCAACAAAGTCAGCGAGTCTGACCACCCAATCAGGTAAGTCGCTTTTTACAGCAAGCATTGATTGCAGAAGACCTATTCAATCCCGGATCTTCACGGGTCCATGTTAAAAATGATGTCCAATGCAATTTCCTATTTTGTACCATATGTTTCGGTGTTCTTTTCAGGTGAACACTTGACTTGCCTTTACATGTGTTTGTGACGGATGCAACCGGTGTGACAGGATATGCTTATCTTTTCGCGAAAACCTGGTATCATCACTATGTGATAGTGATTTATAAACACATGCTCGTGATGTAGTCGGAATCGTACAATTGACTCTTCTTTTGGCAGATTTATAAACTAGTTTGTTACCATAAGACTTTGTCATTATAAAAGCGGGCTATGGATCACCAGAATTACGGAACTGGTGCCATATGCACGGTAAACCTAGCAGGATTTTCAAAATCCCTTCAGTTGCTGGCAATTTTTTGGCATTTTAAGCCGGAAAATTTACGATATAAAAACGCGTTTGGCTCATATGTCCTGTGATGGATGTGGAACTTCCGTATTCTTTTAGGCGACCAATACATTTACACTACTTTAAGCCCCTTCCTAGATACAGACACTAAAAATCTTAGGTGCTAATCTATGTTATACAACACTTATTAATCAAAATTCACGATATAGTTCTAGTTCTGTTTAAATTTTTTTATAAAATGAATGCTAACATTTGATTAAAATAACCCTTGTTGATGATTATTGGGACTATTTATCCCTTGTGCTGGAAAAAACCCATGCTTGACTGATTCTCTCATCACAAGGGATGCAAAACGGAGGATCCTCACCCTTCAAAGAAATTAATTTAATGCGTAAAACGAGAATGGGCAATAGTGACTGAACATGGTTTTACGCCGCTTTCGGCAATATTTCACGGCGGGGGACACCAGAAATGGACTTCACGCAGAGAATGGCCAACACGACATGTCGCACAATGACATCTTCAAATTTGGACGGACAACTCAAGTAACCGACACCTGGTTTAATTTCATGTAAATGATTAATACCTACGAGGCTGTCCCACTTCTTATTATGATCAAATATGATCAAATCACAGGCTTGTAATCATTGAGTAGGATCAAAAGTGATGTCACAGATTTGTTGAGTAATTGTTTTTGCTGCAGTATCAGTCATCATGTTACTAATTATTCCAGCATAACCGGGTAACGAATTCGAACAATAAAATGAAGTGGTATTGGCCATTAGCATTCAACAATTTCAAGTAAAAGTGAATTTGTCAATATCTTTTATTGCCTATTATAAACTGCTAGTGTTTGCCTTGTTTACTGATATGTTTGAGAGAGTTTAAAATGGGATTTGATTATGCAGGAAATTGAACTGTTGTCTGGTAGTCTTGATGAGACCCGTGAAGATCCGGGGTAGAATAGGTCTTCAGCAACCCATGCTTGCCGTAAAAGGCGACTATGTTTTTCGTAAAAGGCGACTGACGGGATCGGGTGGTCAGGCTCGCTGACGTGGTTGATGCATGTCATCGATCCCAATTGCGTGGATCGATGCTCATGACATTGATGACTGGATTGTCTTGTTCAGACTCGATTATTTACAGACCGCCGTCATATAGCTGGAATATTGCTGAGGACGGCTCTAGTGACAAGATTGTATTAGCATAGGAAATAGGCAGTATTCTTATACATGGAGGTTGAATACGATACGATTTAGTTTTTAAAAGGTTCCATAATCATGAAGTCAATACGCAGTCAATTTTTGGATTAAATTGGTTTGAATATACTTTTCAAATATCAGAACAGATGTGCTGAACGTTCCAAGGCAAAACATTTGGCATTGATGATGAATGGAAGTTTTTTTCTGTATAAAGTATTGGAATGTAAGCATGTCAACTTGTTGTCAATACGTTCCGTGGTTTTGCAAACGCTGCTGGTCAATGAAATGGGTCGAAAATTTGAGTCCAGACAAGAATATGTTCCAGTTGCAGGGTGAAAATACGTGTTAGAACAACCATTAAATGCATAAATCCTTATTTATATTACAAAAGTTGGTTCTGTCCATTCAAATCTTCCATGATATGTGTCTTAAGGAGCTGGCCACAAAAACATGCTTGAGGTTCAGACAGTTCGAAGAGACTATGGTAATGGTATATACAAAGAACCATCTTCCCGAGGCAAAGGAGTTAACTGACTGCCGAACTAGGCTAGAATTATTGAGTTACATTTTTGCTGGACTAATGAGTCCATGCATAGTCCAAACCGAAGCGCGTAACGAAGCGACATCCGGTTCGTAAACTGCCGTGCAGATTTCGGTCGAATGCAAAATTTGCAAAGCATGTATTTTCCAAATCTTTTCGTGATTTTCAGTGCAGACTGGTATCAACGCTATAAATGTATCACAAAACTATATTCATTTAATCCAATCCTGTATATTGCTGTTTTGTTTCCTTGTACGATAACATTACCGCTTATTTCGCCACTTAGTATACCAGGGCCCACTTGCACAAAGCGATCTTAGCGCTAAAATGATCGTAACTACCATACATTAACATAGGCCTACAATAGTCTTAACGCTAAGATCGCTTTGTGCAAGTGGACCCAGGACGTATACAACCTGCAAATATTAATCTGACAAAAATATAATATATTCCCTACTCAGAATATGTCTTCTCCTCGGTGTTAATGTGTAAAGCTGCCGGTAGATATGACGTAACCCAAACTAATTAGTGAGTGAGTGAGTTGGGTTTAACGC